CCTGGCCTGTCCCAAATGGACAGGAGTCAAGGAACCATTGTATCTGAGAAAGGAGACTAGGTGAAAAAGGGCAGAGATGGTATGCGATCTGTCCCTGACGGGATGAAGCCGACCGAGTCAGCCGGGAGAGCTGTCACAGGGCTTCTGGGGTCACCTGACAGGCTCACTCTGGCTGTGGAGAACTGCTAGTCTGAGGAGAGGTTATGGAGAGCAAGGGAGAATGTTGGGAGAGCCTGGGGGGAGGGGGCTGCAGTAGTTGGATTCCGGATGTTTGGAAGAGTCGGCCAGATTTCCTGCCAGATTAGAAAGGCAAGAAGAAGCATTGACAATGACCTCAAGATGCTGCAGTGAGCAAATGGTAACCCAATGTGGGGCGGAATGACGATTGGTCGTTAGGAACTCAGAGAGTTCACAGTATCCCTGCAGTCCTCTGAATGAGTTATGTATGCAGTCACCTAATCTTTCTGTTCTTCTGGCTCTGTGTTCTGTCACCAAACTCCAAGGTAGCTAAGAAAACAAGCCTGGAAATTCAAATCCCCTAGCGTGAAGACCCACTTTTTCTTCTTTTTCAAGACAGGGTTTCTCTGTGGCTTTGGAGGCTGTCCTGGCACTCTGTAGACCAGGCTGGCCTCAAACTCACAGAGATCCGACTGCCTCTGCCTCCGGAGTGCTGGGATTAAAGGCGTGAGCCACCAATGCCCAGCCATGAAGACCCACTTTTAACCCAGCAGATAAGGCCAGGCTGAGACAAACACAGGCTCCCTGATCCACGTCTTGTACTCAGAACTCGGACTGTCTCTCCTTGTGGGTAGGCCAGTCCTCCTTAAGTGCATGAGAAGGACCACTGTTTCACTTCTAACCCTTTTGAATGCTATAAAACACTACTTTGACTCAGATGTGGTGGCGTGTGCCTGGAGTCCCAGTGACTCAGGAAACTGGAGAAGAAGGATTCTAAGTCAGAAGGTCTGGGACCTTAGCCAGACCCTGCTTCAAAACAAGTAAGAAAAGGAGGGACTAAGGACACAGCTTAGTGGCAGATCACTGGCAGTCCCCCTCCCTGCCACCCTCCAAAAAAGAAAAAAAAAATTTGTAAAATATAAAATCAGGAACTGTGATTCACCGGCTCCTTGGGTAGGAAAATCACTGTAAGGTTTGGAAACTCAGACTGCTGAACACTTCTCCACCGGGGGAGGCTAGTGTTGGGAGAGGACGAAGTAAGTGTGATGACACTGAGGAACCTTAGGGTGGCGGGCCCTGTGGAGTTCTCTGGGGTCATGTAGCACAGTGTAGGGAGGAGAGGAGCTGTGGCTCATGCATTCCTTGGCCAGTTTCAGTGCAGAGAGCAGAAGAAACCGTGAGTGAGGTACTGAGCGCGTGAGCCCGAGTGCGTGAACACAGAGTGTGTGAAGCCCTGAGTGTGTAATCTCTGAGTGTGTGAATCCTAAAGAAGCTGGGCCTTGCATGTGATAACTGGTACAAGGCACCGTGGGAATATGGATGGGCTGGAAGAAAGGGCTTTTTCTGTAGTCAGGACAAACATGGTTGCTATCCGAGCCAGCATATACCCAGCTTATCTGCAGGTGACATCAAAGGCCACAGGCGCATTCCTGGCGTGAATGGCACTAGGACCAACATCCCATTAGGATGGCTGTGTGTGCACAGTATGCTAGGAAACTACACACGTGGAGTGGGAGAGGCGGGCCAGGATACTCGGTGACAGTCAATGGTAGCTGTTGGCTCAAGATAACTTTGTTCAGTTCAAGCTGGAACCCACAGTCTCCTCATTGAGCTCTATCTTCCTATGGTGCTGCAGGAGTCTGGAGCGCTGTCTTCCTATGGTGCTGCAGGAGTCTGGAGCTCTGACCTCCTATGGTGTTACAGGTGTGTGGAGCTCTATTTAGTGTAGGTTTTCTCTGGAGCAGTCAGTGGGTCTCAACTTTCCTAATGCTTCGACAATTTAATACAGCTCCTCGTGTTGCAGTGACCCCAACCATAAAACTATTTTCATGTGATTTTGACACTGTTAGGAATTGTAAATATCTGATATGCAGGATGGTCTTAGGTGACCCCTGTGAAAGGGTCATGTGATCTCAAAGGGGTCATGACCCACAGGTTGAGAACCTCTGCTCTAGCTCCTCATACGTCACACTAAAGCTCAATTCCAAGACTTGAGTGTGACCTTTCCATCTTAAAACATTATTCAAAACAAAACAAATACAACATCCAGATGTTCAGCTATGCCCGAAGCTACAAGGCACCCTCAGCAATTAGGACTTTCCTTTCCAACCTGGAAGAAGGGGAGGCCTGCAGCCTGGAGGTGGAGATGCTGCTGCAGCAGCCACGCCCCTGCCTAGGGTCTCTTCAGGGCTCCAGGGACTCTAGACATCCTCAGCTGGACTGGGACATGAAAGAGCTGGAGCGAGGCACGAGCAGCCACATCTGTTCCTCAGATCAGACCAGCAGCAGATTCCCCGGAAATCTTCAAGTTTGCTCTTGTGTTCCACTGGCGAGACAGACAGGACCAGCCCTGACTAGAAGGCAACAGAGACAGAATTACTTCAGCCTTTAGAGCGGATGTCAGCAAATACGGATGCTTCGGATGAAAAATCATTTCACCTTTTTGTCTTTTTTCCTTCCTCCCACATTTTTTGTTATATAAAACATCTGGAGGGCTGGAGATGAATGGCTACGTGGTTAAGAGCCTTGCTGCTCTCAAAGGGGACCCGGTTCTTTGCCCAGCATCCACGTGCTGGCTCACAAACATGTTTACTCCAGTTCCAGGGCATCCAGTGTCCTCTTCTGGCCTCCGTGAGAACCAGCCAATTTGTGGTGCAGACATCTCTGCAAGCTAAACACTATGCACATTACCTTTGTATTGATTCCTCCAAGTGTGGTCAAGGAGTCTCTCCATAATTCACTAAGATGTACGGGTTGTGAGGGTGGCCTTGCTCAACCCTAGCCAGAGACAGATAGACAGACAGCCCAGTCTTGTCATGGGGGTCCTCACTGTGCTGACGTGTATCTCACAGACTGCCTCTGTGTCCTCCAGACCGACCTGGTAAGACCTGTGCACACCTCTCCTGCATCAAATGTAGGCCTGACTTCTAATTGAGGAAAGAGGAAGTACAAAAACAGGAAACTGACTTAGGGGCGAGTCAGACAAAGGAAGAGTAAAACGTAGACACATGCTTAGTACATATGATTTAGTTTGAAAGGAGAACCTTAAAACTTAAACATTTGGCCAGGTGGTGTGGTGACTCGAACCTGTAACCTCAGCACTCTGGAGGTGAAGGTGAGAAGACTTTGGCATCCTCAGTTACTTATATATCAAGGCCAGCCTGGCTACGTGGGACCCCGTCTCAAAACAAGCAAACTTACTGTGGTGTGAGTGACTAATGTTGTTGGGCAATAAATTTTAAGACATTGGTGATTTTAAAACAGCAAGTCTTGGAAAGTATTTTTAAAGAACACAGCAAAGGAAGGCTGCATTTCAGAGGATTTCTCAGTTTATATTATCACTGCTATTGAGACAGCACCACACACACACATAAACACATTGAAAAGGGACTTGGAATTTTACTGTACTGGGGCTGTGGGTCTGCAAGCAGAACAGTCCAGAACATCCACACACAGAGACACCCATCTTCTTCATGAGCTCTAGTACGGAAGATACTAGAGGTCCTTGTTATTTTTAGCAAGACTTGAAGTTCAGTCATTTGACATAGGATAAAAACTAAACGCCGTTCTATTGGCAACAAAAAGACAGTCCTGTGTCTAGTCTGCTGCTGTGCTTGCCAGGGCATTGCTATATTCCCCTCATAAATTTTCTTTCCAGTTTGATGCTCATCTGCAGGGTGAAAAAATGCTTACCAGCCTGTAGTTCTAACAGTACAGTTTATTCACTTATATAAACACACCTTTACTCGTCTCTCCTTCAGACACCAGCTATTTAGTATAACCCACACACCTTCCTGTTTTACCACACTCGGTCCCCAGGTTTTAATTACAGTTTGTACATGACACAAATCAACTCGTGATCAGCTCAGTTGTCAGATGATCTCTGTGCTGGAACATTTTCCTTCTGCCCGCTTTAGGGAAACAGTTACATACTAACTTAAACATTCATACACAATGCTTCTTAAACATGATACCAAAGACCCATATGGTAGAATGGCATGTTCTGCCATTCTTAGCACAACGGCTCTGTAAATGGAGAACAGTAACAACAGGAAAGCAATACACCGATATACAACAGACCAACATGAAATCCCCCAAAATACGTGTTTAATGAGACTCTGTATTTTAAATGCGCCAGGAAAAAAAAATCCTAAAACAGGCACATTTCCTTTCCTGTTAACAGGATCTCAGAATTTAACTTAGGTTGCCCCAGAAAGCCAGGTGGTCTATACAGCGAAGGAACTTTCAACGTGTTTCCTGATTGCTTGAAAGTTTTGTTTTTGTTTTGGCAGTTCTCGGGATAGAACCCATGCTTTTTTATTTGGTTGAAAAACTAAAAACCGGGGCTGGAGAGATGGCTCAGAGGTTAAGAGCACTCGCTGCTCTTCCAGAGGTCCTGAGTTTGATTCCCAGCAACCACATGGTGGCTCACAACCATCTGTAATGGGATCTGGTGCCCTCTTCTGACCTGCAGGAATACATGCAGGCAGAACACTGCATACATAATAAAGAAATAAATCTTAAACAAACAAACAAACAAACTAAACTAAAAACACCAGGCGGTGGTGGCAGGTGGTACACACTTTTAATCCTAGCACCTGGGAGGCAGAGGGAGGTGAATCTCTATGAGTTGAGGGCAGCTTGGGCTACAGAGAGTTCCAGTACAGCCTGGTCTACAGAGAGTTCCAGTACAGCTTGGTCTACAGAGAGTTCCAGTACAGCCTGGGCTACAGAGAGTTCCAGTACAGCTTGGGCTACATAGAGAAACCCTGTCTTGGAAAACCAAACCAAAACACAATCAAAATAAAAACTCTAAAAAGCTAAGAGATATTAAGTTACCTTTCTCTGTGAAAAAAAAATCGAAGATAAAATTTATTGCCACAATGTAGGTACACACATGGCTCTTTGTCATAAGCTGTTTTCTCACAGGAAGTGTATGTATAGAAAAGGTTATTTCAAGAGGAGAGATCCTACTCTCGTGAGGTCATCAAGGGCTGTTTTTAATGGTGAAATGTCAGGTTAACGGCAGACATACACTTTTGCAATCAAACACACAGTGCCCTATTTGCTGGAGACCATGTATTTTGCCTACATCTCAATTAAAAACATTTGAAACCTCACACAACTAGCTAAATATTAGCTAGATTTTTACTTCTCTTTCACATCTTTCCTATGTGTCACCAAGTCTCAGCCTAGAATTTGAACGGCTTTTGCTCTGACTTTTGCACATAATTCAATCCAGTTTCCAATGCCATCCAGTGCTCCCCCACACTGCTTCATTATGTGGAAGGCAGGGAGTGCTGCAAGGGAGGCCGTATTAGAAATCAGTAAGATGATATGCTCGGGCAAGCTGGAAGAGCAGTTACCAAGGTAAAGAGAGCTGCCCACTCCATGTACAGTCTGCTTTTGTTGTTGCTGGGATTGTAACCAGGACCTCATGCATGCTAGGCAGGTCCTCCACTGTTGGCCGATCCCCACCTGCCCTATAGGCTTTCCTTTGAGCCCTTTTCATCTCGGGGTTTTGTTTTCATGGGGTTTTGTTTTTTAGCTCCATAAACAGAGGCTGGAGTTCACTGTAGGCTCAAAGTCACAAGAAAACCAATGAGCCTCTCATTCCTACCAGTCCTGCCGGCCCCCTCCTGTTTTCCAAACATCAAGGATTAGAGACACACAAACCCTGCCCTGTTTAACAGGGAAAATATGCTTGTATTCGTTTTCTATTAAAAAAAGCAATACTTTCATAGCTGTGGTTTATTTTATAATCATGTCTATGAGAGTTTGCTTTCTATAAATATTTCAATTCTACAATGAAATAATAAAAGCTAAAAGCCAGCTGTGGTGGCAGGGACAAGCCGATCTCTTTGAGTTCAAAGCCAACTTGCTCTATGTAGAGAATTCTAGACAAGCCAGGGCTACAAAGTGAGATCCCATCACAAAACATCTATCACTGCCCAGTTGATAAAAGCTAAAATAAACCGCTCTTTAATTTAAATTCTGTCCAGGTCTGTGGGTGCAGCTCAATGGTAGTGTTTGTCTAGCAAGTGCAAGACTCTGGACTCCATCTCCTGTACTGCACACCCTGACTAGCATATAATAACCCTCACAGTAGGAAACTATGGACGAGAGGGCAGGAGTCCTGAGTGCCCTTCCTGGGGAGACGTGACCCCCAAGCCAGGGCCCACCTGCAGCACTGCAGCGCACAACCTTCGTCGTTCCTACAGAACCGGACTTTCCTGTATTGTAGTTGGCAGAACGAACCATCCTACATGTAGTTCATCTTATTTCTTTGAAGGTGCTGGGGTGTGAGCCCAGGGTCTGATGCATGCTAGGCAAACACTCTACCAACGAGTGACAGCTGCAGCTTCATAAAGACTTCGAAAAGAAGCGTGGACCATTTTGGTTTCAGAAAAGCAAATCGATGAAAGTTATTAAAAGCAGCCATCTTTGTGAAGAAAATACTTCTTGTAAGTCACTGAGTGAACTCTGCATGGTAGCTCTTCCATGGACTTAGACATTTGACGTCTCTCATTGTTTTGGTACAGCTTTTTTTCCCCCCGGCAGCACTCAGGGCCGTTGGACCAGCTTACTCTTGCTTCCTTCCTGTTCGCTGAGTTTAAAGTGGGTATACGTGAGGATGCCGAACAGTGTGCATAAGATGCCGAGTCCCTGGTTAACTGACAGTGGATCCTTAAATAAAATGTATCCTCCACACAGGGTGATGCAGAACTTGAAGTGTCCGAACATGTTGTAGCTGAGTGTTCAGGTAAGGAGGCAAAGGAGCAACCAGCCAGATGTGAGGGTTACACAGGTGCACACTAACAGTGTAGACATGGAAAAGACTATGGCTGGGAAGAATGTCATGCAACAGGGACTCAACAGTTGCTAGGCACTGTGGTGCATGCCTTTAATACCAGCACTGAGGAGGCAGAGGCAGGTGTATCTATGTGAGTTCCAGGCCAGCCTGGTCTACAGAGCGAGTTCCAGGACAGGCTCCAAAGCCACACAGAGAAACCCTTTCTCGAAAAACCAAAATAAATAAATAAATGAAAATAAAAATAAATAAAAAAGAGAGAGACCCTGTCTTGACCCCCCCCCAAAAAAAGAACAGAACAGACAATTTGGTGACATGCTTGGCCAATCTTACTTTCTTCAGGCATGGTCTCAGCAATTTACAGACAGACTTGAAAATGGCAACACTGAATTAAAAATTGTGTGTGTGTGTCTGTGTGTGAGTGTGTGTGTGTCTGTGTGTGAGTGTGTGTGTGTCTGTGTGTGAGTGTGTGTGTCTGTGTGTGAGTGTATGTGTGTGTCTGTGTGTGAGTGTGTGTGTGTCTGTGTGTGAGTGTGTGTCTGTGTGTGAGTGTCTGTGTGTGAGTGTGTGTCTGTGTGTGAGTGTGTGTGTCTGTGTGTGAGTGTGTGTGTCTGTGTGTGAGTGTGTGTCTGTGTCTGTGTGTGTGTCTGTGTGTGAGTGTGTGTGTCTGTGTGTGAGTGTCTGTGTGTGTGTGTCTGTGTGTGAGTGTGTGTCTGTGTGTCTGTGTGTGAGTGTGAGTGTCTGTGTGTGTGTGTCTGTGTGTGAGTGTGTGTCTGTGTGTCTGTGTGTGAGTGTGTGTGTCTGTGTGTGAGTGTGTGTGTCTGTGTGTGAGTGTCTGTGTGTGTGTCTGTGTGTGAGTGTGTGTCTGTGTGTGAGTGTATGTGTCTGTGTGTGTGTCTGTGTCTGTGTGTGAGTGTGTGTGTGTGTCTGTGTGAGTGTATGTGTGTGTGTGTGTGTGTGTGTCTGTGTGAGTTTGTGAATGTGAAAGTGATGCCCGTGGAGGTCAGAAGAGGATGATGGATTCCCTGGACTGAGAGTGACAGGTCGTTGTGGCCACCAGATGTGAGTGTTGGGAACGAAACTGAGGTGTCTGCACGAGCAGGGTGAGCTCTCACCTGCTGAGCTGTCTTTCTATCCCCAACACCACTTATTCTTCCGGATCGGATGTAAACTACATAGACACACACTCCAAAGCCACAAGAGACGGCCTCAAGTATCCCTCATGACCTCTTCAAGAGGCGACCCTGGGGAGGAGGGACATCAGAGCGAGGCACAGAAAGACGTCTGCACAGCAGTTCCTGGCTGTGCTATGCTATGGAATGGCATTCCTAACAAACTGTCACTGGCAATGAGCTGAGATGTGCCAGGTGCCAGGGAGCTGATGCAATGAAAACTGCCTAAGACCAAGAGGGCAAGGGAGAGAGGAGCCGACGGGGAGTGAGAACACAACCAGCCGCTCTGTTAGGAGCTCTTCATAAGCATCTCACCTTCTTACTTCACAACTGGAGGCCCAGGGAGTCCAGTGACTTTAAAAATAGTACACTTATCATTTATGTACTCTGTGTGTGTGTGTGTGTGTGTTCGTGTGCGTGCATGCATGTGTGAGGTACATGTATGGAGGTCAGAGGACAACGTGAACTCAGGTAGGTCATCAGGCTTGGCGGAGGTCCACCTGCTGAGTCATCTCACCAGACCGGCTGTAATAACCAAGGGACACAGTTCAAGTGTTGGGAATCTAAACAAAGGTGCACTTACTTAACTCCAAAGTTCAGGCTGTAATCTAATATATTGCCAGCAATTCATTACTGGGCTAAAGTTTTTTCCCAAGTCATTGTTCATATAAAAAAAAAAGTCAAACCACATACACAATCAACCCTCAGGCATTATTCTCCTGACGCATTTTATACATAATTACTTTTCTATCTAAACTAATGCTGTGTTGCCCTTCAGATGCATGTTACAAATCTATGTGTTCTTCCTAGAACCACTCTGCCTCAGTTTCCCTGCCTATTAAATGGTAAGATGATCTTGTGTCTTATTAATTATTAAATAATTAATACCTGCTAAGCTTCATAGTAAACGCCATCCCACTAACTCTAAGTTATTAAGAGTATAAAAGCACCTGTGTTTGACAGCACCGCCCAGCACTGTAGACGTCACTGCTCCTAATTTCTCTGCTGCTTCCTTTGCACCCCACTCTGTTTGCAGAGATGGGGACAATGAGCTGACTGAGCCCAACCCCAGTGACCTCAGTGTAACCGCATGAGCTCCCACAACACACTTGGATCACAGGAATGGTAGACCCAGGCAGAGGCCTGCCTCCATCTGACCTCTATGCTCAGGCTCTCTGCTTGGCTTCAAAAGCCATGGGGCTGGACATGGTGATGCAGGCTTGTAATCCCAGCTCCCAGAAGGCTGAAGCAGGAGGACTGGAGGCCAAGGTCATCCTCAGCTCCATAGTAAATCTGAGGCCAGCCTGGGCTACATGCGACTCTTCCAGGAAACACAAAAGTACCAACCAAAAAGTGGCCCACTCGCTGGGCGGTGGTGGCACACACCTTTAATCCCAGCACTCGGGAGGCAGAGGCAGGCGGATTTCTGTGAGTTCGAGGCCGGGCTGGTCCGACAGCCTCCAAAACAATACAGAGAAACCCTGTCTTGTAAAAACAAAACAAAAACAAAAAGGGGGGGCCCACTCAGGGGCAGCCTTCAGGGGAGCATGGGTATCTCTCAGGATACCTGCTTCTGTAACACTTGAGCTTTTAATACTCCCAGCCTGTCAGAGTCATTCAGGAAAAGGGAAAGCAAATTTTTTTTTTTTTTTTTTATGAGACAGGGTTTCTCTGTATTGTTTTGGAGGGAAAGCAAATTTAATGGTGCTCTTCGGAGACCTTTTGAGGAACTAAGACAAACAGCACAAGCTCCAGATCTCTCCTGCTCCATTCAAGCTTTGCCTCACCCCAACTCTGCTCAAAACTGTCAGTGGCCTTGCTTCACTAGGTCTGGGACCAACTGCCAATCTTCCTCTGACATGGCGCTCCCTACCCCTGCTCCTCAGGTGCAGTCACCATCAATCTCCTCTCTCCTCCCCTCTGGAGCTCCTCTGCCTATCCCCTCCCATCTGGGAACTCTGAAGGTACAGTGCCCAGGGTCTGGTCTTTGCACATCCTTTCTGTGACTTTTTGCTGGGTAATCTCAGTCACCGCCCACATCCCATCTTCACAATGACTCAGGACTACTGTGGTTGGGGCCTGGTGCCCGAACCCTACAACTGGCATGCTACCTGCACCTCAGCTCTCCTCCCTAGACAGCCACTGCAATACATACGGGACCCACTCTTACTGCTTTGCATTCTTCACATCCTGCTGTCCAGGAAACCCGTTGGTGCTATGTGGGAGTGTTGGGACGCCCAGTACTTCTCACCATTCCCTCTGCCACGTAAGAGTCACATATACGTGTGCAGGCAGCATGTCTGTGTGTGTAGGCCAGAAGAGGACATCATATCCTCTAGAGCTGAACTTACAATTGTGAGCTGCCTACAATGGACGCTGAGAACTGAACTCAGAACTTCTGCATGAGGAACAAGCACTCTGAGCCGCTGGACCTACAAGCTAGTACTTATGAATTAGAAACTGCAGTGGCTCCCGATGGTTTCCCTCCTTCTCACCTTTTCTAGTCCAGTTTTCTTCAACCATATGAGCAATGGCTGCTGACAGTTGGGGTGGGGCTTGGGGTGCTCCTGGCATCTAGTGGCAGAGACATGTCATGCTGCTGGCCATCTTTGAAGGACAGCATAGGCCCCCAAACAAAGCAGTCTTGGCCTCAAGGTGGACAGTGCGAGTCAAGAAACCCTGCTCAGCACCACAGGCACCCACAGTCTTCCATGAGGACGTGGGACCATGTCACATTCCCGCTCTAAACTCTCGGGTCATGAAAGCTCCACGTGACCTAGGCTCCTGCTTCTCCATCCATTCCCCTGCTTTCTGTGTTCACCCACAGCACAGTTCTCCTCAGGCCCCTCATCTGAGATCTCAGTCTGCATAGCCTAGGCTGACTTCAAACACATAGCCTGCCTCAGCCTTACACGTCCTGGGATTACAGGCACACCCAGCTTTAAAAAGTCAGTATACTCTAACTAAAACGTTACTAAACTACCTCTTTCATATGAGGAAATGCATTCTTCACACTTGCTTACAAGTAGGGCAAAGGGAAATGCAATGACAGAGAGAATGACAGGCAGGATGGTGAAAACTGGCAGTGGAATTTGACCTTCATCACATAACTTCATTTTTTAAAAATTTGGAATATTAAGAACATGTATTTATTTGGAAGTAATAACATCCGTTTCCAAATAAATACAGACATACCCCAAAATCAGGTGCCCAGGGTATGAAATTACCTTTCATTACATAAGCTGACTACACCTCTACTTTATCACTGTAGATATCTGAAAACCAACTCAAACCAAAGCCTCCACTCCATTATTCATTCAATAAATATCACTTAGACTCACTACTGGCAAGTCATAGTGCTAAGTAGTTTTTATAAGAGAAAAGGTCACTACTACTTAAGAAGATTCAAAAGTATTCCTTTACAGAAAGCAAACCCATTTCCTTAGTTAATAAATTCCATAGACACTAGTGTGGAAAGACAGTCTTTAAAAATTAAGGGACTATAGCGATGTCTCAGCAGTTAAGACCACTTGCTGCTCTTCCAGAGGACCTGGGTTAGAGTCCTGGAACCCATTTGGTGACTTACAGCCATCTGCAATCCTACTTCTAGGGAATCGATGGCTTCTCTGGCCTCTAAAGGCATCAGGCATGCATTGTGCACAAACATACATGCAGAAAAACTATATACTAACGAAATATAACAAAGTAATAACCCAGCCTACTTAAGAAAGGCCATATAAAATGTTAAACTCAAGGTGACAAACGGGAAACAAAGCCTATACACATGTGAAAGTACATGGAAAGGATACGTGACTGGTGATGTGTTCCCAATGATCCAATAAATTGATAAGTTCACCATGAAAGCGATTACTCCAGACAGCAGTACCATAAGCTACAAATGAACCAAGAGAATTATTATAACCAGGAATATCTCATTAGGAATATGCAAAAATGCAAACTTCATCCATTTAAACAAGATGTCACATGCTGGTAACCCATCTATACATATAAAGGTAGATGCAGGAGGGTCACTGTAAATTTGAGGCCAGTGGTTTATGGAGTTCCAGGCCAGTCAGAGCTGCAGAGTCAGAGCATGACTCAAAACAAGCACACAAGACAAATGAACACACACCCTCAAAAAAAAAAAAAAAGAGTTTAGAAAATCAATTTGAGTTAGGCAATGGTGGTGCACACCTTTAATCCTACCCCCACTCCCACCCCCGAGAGGCAGAGGCAGGCAGATCTCTCTGAGTTTGAGGCCAGCCTGGTCTACAGATCGAGTTCCAGGACAGCCAGAGCTACACAGAGAAACCCTGTCTCGGAAAACAAAGCAAACAAATAAAGAGAAACTGCTTGAAGAGAACAAGCATCGTGATGGGGATGGCTCAGTGGGTAAACCGCGATGACCAAGTTTAGATACCCAGAACTCAGGCAAAAGCTGGGAGTGGCTGTGTCTGTAATCTCCATGCTGGAGAAGTGAGACAGGAGGATCGCCAGGGCCTGAGAGAGACCCTGCTGTAAGACAACGGTGGAGAGAGTAACTGAGGAAGACACCAGTGTCAACTTCTGGCCTCCCTGTGCAGGTGTATGTATCCCACACCATACATACACAAGTCAGGATAACCAATGTGTTCACACATTAGTTCCCACAAACGACCTCAGGTGGATAAGCAGCTGAGAGCACAGGAGGGCAGAGTGAATGGCTGGCTCTTTACACAGCTGGTAAAGAATAGCATTAATATCTAGACCCGCTTTGAGCTTCTCCCCCACTCTCCTCGGCCACTTCTCCGTTACCTAAGAGGGAGCCTTAGACAGCAAGTTTACAGCCCAGGCAATGGTTCTTGAGAGCTACATTGTTGGTGGGCAACCAGACAAGAGGTTCTACATGACTCTCAAGGCAGGAGGTCAGCACCAAAAAATGGTAATGTGACACCTTAGGGTTCTGGGGCCTCCACTTTCTTCATATTCCTATGTATATTCAAAAATCTATCCAATGAGTATGTACTATTTATATGACACACTAGGCCACTGTTTTTACAATCACATCATACAAATATAAAATTAAAATACAATGCCCAAATTATGTGTGGACTCCAGTTTGGCATGGACGAATGGTAACTGGGCATTGGAAAGTGCGAACTGTAACTGGTTTGCTGTCCCAGGCTAGGCCAGCCCCCTCATCTTCCTGTGCCTGTCCCCTCATCTGAAGATAATCCCCACCTGGCCTCCTTAGAGAGCAACAAGGGGTCAGATGTGAGAACAGAATTGACGTTGTGCTCTAAAATCCAAAAACCGCCTAAGGAAAAGAGTGTGACTACTGTAGTTTCTTGGCACCAAAACCATCAGAACTTACCAAAGCAGTAACTGACCAGGGGCCAAATATTCCTCCCTCTCCAAACACCGGCTCAAAGAAGGGCACAGTGACCAGCAGCATGGCAGAGGACATGGGAGCCTGGTAGTACAGCAGCTGCATGGAGTTCACTTGTAGCTCATGCTGCTTGGCTCCCACCCACTGAAAATCAGGAGACAAGACAAGTCAGGGACAGAGAGAAGCATCGTTCAGTCAGAGCTGCGCAGGCTAGGGGAAGATGACACGCCTCGTTATTCTAAGGGGTTTTAAACTGTGGGGAGACACCAGTGACCGTGAGCTCCTCAGATAAAGGAGCTCTGTGAACACAGTGTGTGACATGTTCTAAGTGGACTCCCACGTGTGGCGTTAAAGGTACGTGGGCTTCAGAGCCCCTTTAAAAATCAGTCAATGGCAGATGACATTCTCCTCTCCAGAAACTCTTCCAACACACCTGGACACACAGAGTAAACAGAAACCCTAAGACACTGACTCATTCAGTGAAAACCTCAAAACCTTATATCCCATGTCCGCAAAATACTTCACAGATATGAAGAGTCGGCAGTTTGAAGCAGATCTGGCAGAAACAGCCTGGCTTTTGAACACCTCTGCCGACCCGTTTCCTGAGTCTAGGTATCTGTTACATGAAACAAGTCTACAGGAATTCAGTGAGACCCAAATGGAGAAACAGGAAACCTGAACCACACTCCCGCCAGCCTTCACTGGAGTCCTCTGAGAATATAAAGGACAAAGAAGCGATTCTTCCCCAGCCTGCTTATAGGAGTGGCACTGTGAGCAAAAACAGGAAGGCTGTCAGTCACGCAGGCTCACCTTCCAGCCCGTGTAGCCACCCTGACTGCCACACTCTTCACACTTCCCTTCCCTTCGTGCCCTCCACTGCCACTAAACCATGGCTCTTAAACATAAGGCTCGGCAAAGCCTCTTCCCAGGTTTTTGCTGGTGTCTGCAGAGTAAAGACATTTCCTGAGTGGCAGCAAGACTTTATCATCCAATTCTAACCACTTAGCACCACCCTCCCGCAACACACCTATAGTCTAGCCTCACTGAACTCATCAGGTTCTCCCCAAATGTTCAATGCTTTCACACACATTAAAGCACGGGCCTCGACACTTCACAGCCGAGCAAGCATCCACGCCTCCAACTGAAAGGAGCTTTCCCTCTGGTCTAGCCCAGTCATTCCGAGTGCACAACTGCCATTTCTGCCTTGGCACTCCTCAAGACCTTTCTGGGCATGGAGGGATACTACCGAGGCAGGCTATGGACTGCCAAGTCTGAATGCATGTCTTGAAGGGAGGGGCTACAGTTGCTCTTCCTCATCATGGGAGCATAAAGATGTCTGTCACACAAACAAGCCCACCACGCCTCCAGCTAAGAGCCGAAGATACTTCTGTCACCTTCTCTTAATGTTCCCAGCTGCACCAGAACAAATAACTTAGAAACCAAAGAGGATATGAGAGGCAAATATAATATTGTTCAAAAGAAACTTCTCTCCTAGCTGGGCGTTGGTGGTGCACACCTTTAATACCAGCACTCAGGAGACAGAGGCAGGTGGATCTCTGTGAGTTCGAGGCCAGCCTGGTCTACAGATCGAGTTCCAGGACATGGTCCAAAACAATACAGAGAAACCCTGTCTCGAAAAACCAAAAAACAACAACAACAAAAAAAAACAAACAAAAAAAAACCAAACAAACAAAAAAAACAATAGAGAAATCCTGCCTTGAAAAACCAAAAAAAAAAAAAAAAAAAAGAAAGAAAGAACCCTCTCCTCCCTCCCTTTTTTTTAAATGGGAGAGCTTGAACGAAGTCCCCCACTACCACAAATTATGTAGTCAAGTTTCCCAAATTTGGGGAAATCACAGGGCTAGTACATCTGGAGTACAATGTGTATGCCTCGCCCTGGGAAAACTACCTTTGTGATCATGGTATCCGCTAAAAGATATCTGTGTGTGTGGTGGTGGGGGGTCCTACCTATTCTGTCCTGGTGCCTTTACTGTTTTCTGTGACAGAACCTTTGCTCATTGGTCTTCAGTCATTCCTTGATCAACCTTGCAAACCTCAGGGATACAGAACCTTTTGATTCTGATCTACGAGAGTTTGAAACCTACAGGAACAAAAGTGGCCAAACAAACAATAACAAAATAAAAAAATGGTGAGTGTTGTGAGCTGGGATTATGTATAAGGACTAAAAGAAACTCTAATATTTAACAAGCAGACCAGGTGTGGTAACACATCCTTTAATCCTAGCACTTGGAAGGCAGGTAGATCTCCATGAGTTTCAGGCCAGCCAGAGCAACATGGTCCTGTCTCAAAACAAAAAAACCCAAAACAACCAAAATCAAGTACAACAAAAGTAAAAAAGAGGATCAGTGGGTAAATGTCCCTGCTGCCAAACCTGACTGCCAAAGTTCTATCCTAGGGACCCATGTGCTGGGAGAGAAGACTCTGGTCTCTGAACATTGCCCTCTGACCTCTATCTGCACACGGTGACTGGCATGAGCATGCACACGTGTACTAGTGCATACAAACAAAATAAGTATAAAAAGTAAAAAGTAGGGAGCTGGGGATGTAGCTGAGCGGTGGAGTACTTGCCTAGTGTGTGCAAGGTCTTGGGTTCCACCCCCAGGACAACATCCTAGAAGTTTTGGTAGTTGTTGAAGTTGTTAGCCAGCTGGGTGAGTTGTAGCTCAGTGTTCAGTGCTTGCTTAGAATGCAAGAAGGCTGTGGGTCCCAATCCTCAGCGCCCCACCCCCAGGGATAGTAGATGCTTCTGGGAAATCACTACCAGCAAAGATACTAGGGTGTAGTACTAGGGTGTAGTACTGAACAAACATTCCTAACCAGAATGCCTGCCTTTATCGCCTGTAGATACTTGTGACAGAGTTGTTGTAACATTGGTTACATTTGGCTTTGATTCCCCATGCAGGCACACCCAGAATTTCCAGACCAAGGTTTTCAGTATAGTGGGAATACTGTTTCACTGTTCCTTAACCTGTTATTCCCTCCCCCCCTATACAGGACACAAAAAGCAGCTTGTTGGGAATTTATGGTAATGAAGTGACTCCATGAAAAGTTTAACTGAATCCTGGCTACAGGCAAGACACTGTTTGTACAAGAGGTTAAAAACCTAGAAGCCACGCTATTGACCTAGACAAATTACTAAATGCCAATCAGAGTTGTAACACCAATACTTCTTTTGAATTTAAAGTTTTTACATTTGATTTTTTTTCATGTTTAAATGTTTGGAAATATATGCGTTTCTTAAGAGCAACTTTACACATACAGAGTATATGACAAATATAATCAACAAACTTATGAAGCAAAGCCTTATTGCTCATTTTGTAAAGACTTCCCATAAAACAAAACAAAACAACAAAACAAAAAACAAACTTGTCTCAAACTCTAATGGTTAAGCACGCGTATCGTGCACTTACAAACAGGCATTTGGTGAGCATCAAACCCAAGTTTCTCTGTCTCCTCTTCACCAGGAGTTAGACAACTTGTCAATTATGCTTTCTTCCCAACAGTTTATTGTCTCTATACTGTATTTTCTAAACCTTGGGATACAGCTTCAAAATTTACGAAATCTGCTAAAAAGGCACATAAAGAAAAAAAATTACCAACCACTTGATAAAGGGACGTAACTAATACACCAAGGGCAGCAAACACCATTCCAAGGGAATGAAACTTCACATCGTAATAAGAATTTAGGATTACACCTACAGTTATAGGAATCTGTAAAGAAAAAGAGCAAATGCTGTTGAGATTAAATTCAAAAACAGTTTCTTACAAAACTAATGAAACACATCTCTGGGGAACACTGAACTGTATGTTTTCTTTGTTTGGGAAAACTGCCAATACCATACAAAATAGTGTAATTCTCTACAGACATTCACATACAATTCTATATCTGGGAGAAAATAATGAATCCATGCATTGGGCTTTTTAAGGAAATACTATGCGCATTTCCAGGTAAGTAAATGGATCTCCAAACTAGTACTTAACATAGGAACATAAACATGTAAGAAGGAAATACTAAGAAACACTAAAAATTACTGCTAACGTTATTTCAGTGATTTTTTTTTTTGTTTGAAGACACAGGCACTCTCAGCAGTATGCTACTGAAGGCATATCCTGAGATATTTTATGCAAAACCATTTTATAGTTATCATATGTTGTTCGATTCCCCGGGGGTAGGAATTTTTTTCCTTTCCAGGTTAAGCTTTTTTTCCCCTTGGTTTTTCGAGACAGGGTTTCTCTGTCTTGTTTTGGAGGCTGTCCTGGAACTCTCTCTGTAGACCAGGCTGGCCTCGAACTCAGAGATCCTCCTGCCTCGACCTCCCGAGTGCTGGGATTAAAGGCGTGTGCCACCGACGCCCGGCTCCAGGTTAAGCTTTAGCAGGTACTCTGATGCTTTCAACTGTACCAACTAAGTCAGCTCCTCCGCCCCCCCCCCCGCCCCCTCACCAATTTAGAGATTTCCATCACAATAGTAGTTCTAAAACCCACAGGAACACACCCTTTTACTGAGTCAGTTGAGTGCCAAATGGCTTTTCCAATCCTCTCCAAAATAAGTCTGACGGTAACTATCTTATAGACTCGTGTGTGGAGTCAAGAGGATGGTAATTAGCTGCCGGGGTGCCAGGCTATAAGCAAGGTACATTCAATTTTCCCGGGGAGCAAGACAATCAGGTTGGTGGCCAGGGACGCGCTCGCGCAGCTGCAGCTACTCACCAGCGTGAGCTGTATTCGGATGGAAAAGCTCTTCTGGTACCAGAAGGTCTGGATGGCTATGATCACTGGCGTGGTCATGGCCTTGGCCAGCTGATAGGTGCCTATGGTGTTGTTCTGTAGAGAAAGGTTGGTGAAGACCACAAAGCCACAGAAGCTGAGGGCCAGAAGCAGGAGCTTGGAGAGCGGCAGACTTTTGGGGGCAAAGATGTCCAGTTTCTGGCAGATGTATAAGCCCAGCCAGGTGACCACGAAGTGCACCAGGGTGAGGCTCATATTGGGGAAGCCGTGGTGTACATAGATCCATTTGTTGAGGAACACGATGCAGATGGACACCAGCAAGTTGAACAGGAGCCCGGCGGCGATGCGCCCGTTGCCCCGAACCCGGTCGGCCAGTGATGCCATGACGCCCGCCGGCGGCGGAGCATCACCCTCGGCCAAGCCCGGGCTGTCCAGCCTCCCCGCGGGGCGCCCGGCCGCTCTCCGGCTGCCCGGGCCCTCCAGCGCCGCGTGCCGCAGCCTCCCGCCTCTCGGTCCGGCCGGAGACAGGCATGCGCCAGCCAGGTCCCGGGCCACCGCGGAGGCTGGGCGGGATAGGCCGCCGCCCTCGGAGCGGGTACCCGGCTGCTCCCCGACCCCGCCCCTGCAGGCCACGTGACCTTGCTCGCACTTCCGCCGCGCAGGCGCACTGGGCGCCGATTGCTGCCCATCGGGTTGACCAATTCTGCTCGGAGGAGCTCTTGGCCTCTCGTGGGGTGCAGGAGGTGATAACTATCTGTGGTAGGTCACCCGACTTCCCCGACAACGTCTCTCGGGCTTTGCAGATCCGGCGACGCAGACTCCCCGCCAATTTTACACTCCACGGGTGCTGAACAGTTTTAATCCTTTGCAGACAGGAAAGCATTACTTACTGAAAGTGTATTTTTAAATTGCTTTAAAGGTCTAAACATATGGAAGACTGGAGGAGACAGTCTAGTCGTCGTATACTCAGAATGTAGATCTGAAACTATTTTGGCTTATTTGAGATATGATATCTTTCACCCACGAATTCTTTGTAAACATAAGAAGCAAGTACATTTTCTTTTTTTTAAAGATTTATTTATTTATTACATATACACCAGATTGAATTGTAGATGGTTGTCAGCCACCATGTGGTTGCTGGGAATTGAACTCAAGACCTCTGGAAGAGCAGTCAGTGCTCTTAATCTCTGAGCCATCTCTCCAGCCCGCAAGTACATTTTCTTGTATGGCCAAGATATTTGCACTTCAAAGAGGCAAGTATGAAGTCCAACTTTAAAGTTTTGGAGGTGGAGAGGACTTTTAAGCTTTGTATGCATTATTATTTGCAAATGAAAATTTGTATTTGTTAGTATTCAGGCATCTGCACTGGCCTGTCCTTGAGGTTCTGACAGGATACACCCTCAGCTGCAGCCACTAAGAGCACCTGTGCACATACACTACCTTTTTGTTTCGTTTTCTTAATTTGTCAGGGTTTCTCTGTGTAGCTCTGGCTGTCCTCAAACTCACTGAGATCCACCTGCCTCTCCTTTCCCAGTGCTGGGATTAAAGGTGGGAACTATCACTACCCTGCAACTATGTTCCCTTTTAAAAGGGCTCTGCCCACCTCCCATTTTTCTCTCAACTTCTCCCTCCCTCCCCAGAGGCTAGTCTTCCCTCCCCAATTCTCCCATATAAACACCCCCAGTAAAACACCGCTCCACCCAAGCTCTGTTGTGCACCACTTTTAAAATTACAACAATATTCAGTTTTCTTTTTCTCAACTGTCACTGATTCTTTGTGGATTTCACATCGTGCACTTCGATCCCTCTCGTCTGTCCTTTATTACCCACATATATATTCAGTCCTTCTGCTACGGGTTTTTTGAACACCATGTAAAACCTTTATTTATTTATTTATTTATTTATTTATTTATTTATTTATTTTTTGGTTTTTACGAGACAGGGTTTCTCTGTATTGTTTTGGAGGCTGTCGGTCCAGCCCGGCCTCTGCCTCCGGAGTGCTGGGATTAAAGGCGTGCGCCACCACCGCCCGGCTATGTAAAACCTTTTTATCTTGAAAAAAATGTAAAGGAAGTTAAAAGATTAGTGTTATAAACACTCCTCGGTCCTTTAGACAGTTCCTATTTTACTCCGTTGCTTTAACTGTGTACTTTAATTTTAAAACTGTTTCAATATAAAGTGCAAATTTTATGACTTTCAACCCTAAAAATTTCAGTGTGCATCTAAGGATGAGGGAGGGTACTTCCCTACATTGCCACAACTCCAGTGACCACACCTAAGAAAACTAGTATAGGTTCAACACTACTACTATATAACCTTGTTCTAGAATTTAAAAAGATTTTTAATCATGTGCATTTGTATGGGTTTGTGCACATAATTGAAGGTGCTCTTGCCAGGGGGTTAGATCATCTTAAGATGGAGTTACAAGTGACTGTGTTTTTGGTCCACGTGGGTGCTTGATTCATTTTTATGTGGTTGTTTGCTTGAATGTATCTGTTTATCATTGCATAAGCCTGGTGCTCACAGAGGCCAAAACAGGACATTAGATCTTCTGGAACTGGAATTACCGATGGTTGTGAGCTACCATATGTATGCTGGGAAATGAATCTTGGACCTCTGGAAGACTAGCCAGTTCTCTTAACTGCTAAACCATCTCTCCAGCTTGAGTGGGATGTCCTTCTGCATGTTTCTCTTTGGTTGATGAATAAAACACTGTTGGGCCGATGGCCAATGAGGCAGAAAGATAGGAGGGACTAGGAGAGGAGAATCTGGGAAAGGTAGGCAGGAGAGGCCGCCAAAACAGTTGTGATGTAACAGGCAAAGGAGTTGCAGGCCCTGCATTCTCCCATAAGCCAAGACCATGTGGAAATAGATTAGTTATAGGTTAAGAATTAAGACAGAGCTAACCAATAAGAAGCCCAAGCCATCAGCCAACAGTATTATAATGAATACAGCATCTGTGTGTTCATTTGGGGCAAGGAGGCTGTGGAACCAGGCTGGCGGGAAAGAGTTCTTGTAACACCAGCTCTCTTTGAAAGTACTCGTGCTAGATTCATCTTAACTTTACTATTCAGAAAAATACTAAATTTTATGATAATTGAGAAATTACTTATCTGGCTTGAAAATAAATAGATTCTTTAGTCTCTATTCTCTTTAAATATGTCAGAAACTTTTGATTACAGGAAAAAATAATGTAATATTTAATTTGTTCTATTACGTAAGAGAAAAGTAGCATTTATAGAACAAAAAAATTTATTTTGTATAATTTCATTAAAAATACTTAAAGAAATACTGATATAATACAAAATTCAAATGCCTAAGTTTTACATTTTCCTGCAAAATGCCAAAAAAAAAAAACCAATAATTACAAATATGTATATCTGAACAAAACCAAGCAAGCCCCGCACCGTGTTCGGGGCATCAGAGAGGTGATGAGTTATGACTGAACGTCATATCCGAGTGGGTCAAGCCCCTGGTCAAGAAGCATCAGAGAGGATTCCCTTAACTTCTGCAGCAGTTTCTTTAGTTCTTCCTTAGAAAATACCTGACATGTAAAAATAAAAAAGAATTAAAAATGAGAATATCAACTTTTTAAAAACCTGATCAATCTTAAGAAGATCTATGTCGCTTGAAGATCAGAGACCTCGTGCTGATTTTCAGGGCATATTATATACTTCCATTCATACACAGAGACAAAGTTTTTTAAAAGTACACTAAAGTTGGAATATTATTTTCAGAAAATGCAAGAACTAAAAAATGTAAACAAGTATTCACAAAATATAGGGCAAGCATATCAAATATTAAAACTCCAGAACTCACCAAGTACAGTTTGTGGCGCTCAGAGGACACCATGTCGGCCAACTGTAGGCACTCCTGGTACTGCCCAGTGCTATGCAATATGGTGTGCAGCAGAAAACACAGCATGGGCAGACAGAGCTTTCTTAGTAAAACCATCTGATGTGTTCTTTCAGGGTCTTCCTCAGCGTCCTACAGACAGACACCAAGTCATCATTTGAACAACTTTAAGTGAAATACCCTTACCAACAGAAAAGTCAACTACAGCAAGGTCTCAAGGCTCACACCTGACAGCCCAAACCCCAGCACTCAGGAGGGTAAGTTCAAGTTCAGGGCAAGCCTGATCTACATAGTGTGCCAGGCTGCTACACAGATCCTGTCTCAAAAATATAAAACACCACCACCACAACCAAAAAGTCGTCAGTCACATTAGGAACCAATAGATTTAACCAACAATAAGTGGAGAATACTTCAAAGGAAAAGTTGCATCTGTACCAAGCACGAATACTTTCCTCTCTTACTAATATTTGCTAAGTGGTACTGTATAACTAACAACTGGTTAGCATTTACACAAGAATGGGTATAGGCAATCTGAAGAAAATTTACAGACTGGGAGGATGTGTGAGGGTTTCATGAAAACATCATGCATGCCATTTCATATCATGAAAGGGAGCAATCTTGTATCTACCCTGGTCCTCTTAACCAGGAGCCATCTCTCCAGCACCTTCATTTGTATTTTTAAAGATGGATTTTATTTGGGGTGTGTGTGCCTGCCACATGTGAATGGTTGCCTGAGGAGGCCACGAAAGGGAATTGGATCCCCCAGAGCTGGAGTTACAGGTGGTTGAACTGCCAGACATGAGTGTTCAAGGTCAAGCTTGGTGTTCTGGAAGGAAGGGCAATGCCCTTAACTGCTGAGCCACCTCTCAGTATTCATAAAATAATCATTCATTGCTTTCCATCTCTTGAGATTCCAAACTATTTTATAGCTTTTATTATCTAATCTAAAATTAACAGATAATCAAAATTAAAAAATATATATCAATATAATCCTCAAGTTTTGTTATTTTACAACATTTGGATCTTCAACAAAGACTAAGGAACCCACTGAACATTTAAAATTATGCTGGAGTTTTATTACGTACTTTAGGATTAAGAAATACCCCAAGGGCTGCAGATTCAGTGGTGCCATGCTTGACTAGCATGTGTGAGGCCTGGTCTCAATTCCAATACCATGAATAAACAACTCAGAAGTGACCTGAAAAATTGTTATCTGTAGGAGCATCAATCAGAGGCCCTAACCTAGCCCTGTCCCTGTTAATATTCACTCTTGTCAGAAAAGAGAAGCTAGAGAGGTGGGAAAATGTAGCAACTAAGTTAATTACAGAGAAAGCAATAAATGTGATATGAAGGGTGGTGGAGGAAAAGACCCCAGTGCATACGACTTGCAGAATGGAGTAATGTTTAAAATGACATCCCAACTATCCAAGACGCAGCATTCTTGGCTCCCTTCAGGGGATGTCTGCAGACACAAAACTGAGTTAGCATTCTGTCATGGTCAGGCCTTGCTGTGATTTCAGTGTGAAATGTCGCTCACAGGTTCCAAGTGTCTGAGCACTGGGTGGAGCTGTTTAGGAATGTTCTGGAAACTTTAGGGAGGTAGAGGCTTCAAGTGGGTAATAGGGAGAGTGAGGGCTTGAGGTTTTATAGCCTGACCACACTCCTTCCTTCCTGACTGCAGACATACCAGCTGCCTCTCACTCCTGCTGCCAAAGACTGCAACCCTCAAAGTGCAAGGCCAAACAAACCCGTCCTCTCCTAAGCTGGTTCTTAGTAGGCATTTGGCCTCACACTAAAGAAATGAGACTAAATTCCATTAGGTGGGCATGCATGCATCTGCAGGTGGTCCTGAGGTCTAAGACAGTATACCTACCTGACAATGATCACAGCTAGCAAGAAGGGTCAGGTGGGAGGAGGGGTGAGCAAGGAGAGGAAATAGATCACTTTCTTACACAAATAAAAAAACGGAAAACTATAAATACAGGACGATATGAGGGATGGCAGGAGAAAAGACATCAGAAATACCACCAAGAAGAGTATCTAATGCTGGCCTCAGTACCTCTCCCCTTCTTACACTGCCTTGTCTGTGTCTTCCTCTTCTCACAGCCCTTCCACAGCTAGCTCTCTCTCTCTGTCTGCCCCCCCCCCCGTGTGCTGTGGGTCCAGCCCAGGACTCCACCGTGCCAACCTCACACTCCAGCACAGCGCTACCCGCAGCCAGAGTGATTTGTTCATCTGGGCTCACAACAAAATCTGCTGCGCTTTCCTTCTGTGCTTAATTGTCTTGTAGGGAGGAACAAGTGAGGCTGCCCTTGGCCCCTAATCCTCTTGCTTGAGCCCCCAAATGTTGGGGTTACAGACATAAGCCACTTAATACTTCTGCAGCTCATTCCTACTCTGGAAGCGGCATTTAAGGAAGAATATGCTGAGCCATGACCCGCCAAGTCATCTAAGTGGGAGGCTCACAGGGATGCTGCTGCTTTATGTCTCCAAGTATTAGACTCACCTATTTCTAAGTTAAGTTACACACATTAAAGCTTGACTCAGGCTTGAGGGCATTTGTCTGTAAACCAGTAGCCAGGAGGCTTTCAAGTTCCAGGGCAGCCTGGCACAAGTGAGTTCAAGGCATGCTTGAACTGTATAGCTAAAGACCCTAATCAACTCAACAACTAGGTCAATAAATGAATCGATAAATATAATTTTAGGTCTAGAACTTTTTAAAAAATTAGATTTTAGTTAGTCGGGAGTGAGTATACTGAACATGAATAGTTTACTCAAGAATGAAACACTCCTAATCCAAGGTGGTATTTTCAGTTAAACTTAAAACATGGGGGTGGGGGATGGGGAGTGGGTTATAACTACTAACTTTATATAAAATCTTAGATGTTCTTATGTAGAGAAGGAACATTAGAAGATACAGTGTATATAGTTCTTGTTACTGGTGTTGGCTTTTTAAAACTTTCTTAGGAAGGGGCTGGAGAGGTGGCTCAGAGGTTAAGAATACTTGCTGCTTTTCTAGAAGGCCTGAGTTGGACTCCTAGCACCCATGTGACTACTCACATCCATTCCCTAACTCTAGTTTCAGGGGATTAGATGCCCTTTTCTGGCTTCCATGGGCACCAGGCACATACATGATACACAGACATACATGCAAGCAAAACACTCATATGCATAAATAAATATTTAATAAATTAATCTACTTGTGTGTGTTTATATGTATGTGTAAGGGTCTGCCTGCATGTGGAGGCAGAAGTTGTTTCTCTCCACCATTTGAACCCTGAGGACTGAACTCTTGTCACCAGGATTGGTAACAATGCCTTTTCTGACTAAGCCACCTCACCAGTTTGTTAATCTTATTTTTAAAGCTATAACAAAACACATAACTTACCTCTCTGACGTCTACCATCCATCCTCCATCAACAAACAACAGGACGTTGTACATTTTCTCCTTTACGTCGGCAGTGAGGGCATCTAAATGTCCTTTCCAAATACTGTGGTCCATCTGAAGAACAAACACAAGAAGCTGTGATGGACCCAACAACACTCCTCTTATTTTGTCCTTTCAATACAGGGTTTTTCTGTGTAGCCCTGGCTATCCTGGAACTCGCTCTGTAGACCAGACTGGCCTAAACTCACAGAGATCCACTTGCCTCTACCTACTGAGTCCTGGGATTAAAGGTGTGTGCCTGGCGACAAGAATGTCAGCCTTAAGAGTTGATAATTTAGCCAGACATGCATATAAAGAAAAACTATTAATGAATAGCAGATAGATGAAATATTAAAACATTAATTTAGTAAATAAATACTAAGGTCTAAAGGCATTTCTTCCTTCTTTCTTATTTTGTTTTTCTGAGACAGGATCTCACTATGTAGCTCTGGCTGGCCTGGAATTCAGGATATAAAACAGGCTGGCCTTAAACTCACAGAGATCTGCCTGGCTCTGGCTCCCAAGTCCTGGGACTAAAGGCATGAGCCACCATGCCCAGCAACATTTCTCAAGATTAATTACCTATAGAAAAATGAACACGATTCAAAGCAGAATATGTACAGGAAAATCCCATTCCAATTAGAACATAAATGCTTAAAAAAAAAAAAAAAAGATGACCCCCTCAAAATACATGCAATTTTTTAAGATTAAAGAGGCTCATCTCAGACTCACATTAACTTACTTCGTATTTCTTTTCCTTGTGTTCAAAAGCCACTTTCTCTGTAAAAGTTGGTTCAGATATCAATGTAGGTTTTTGTGGGGCCGAATTCATATGCTTAAACCACTCATTGAAGGTCTCATGGGCTTCCTAAAACACCAAGTTAAACAAAATGAAACACATGCTTTTACATTTTGCTTTTGAGACAGGGTCTTCTTTAGACCAGGTTAGTGGAACTCACATGAAAGCCCAGATTGGTCTCATTCATGACAATCCTCCTGGCTCAGCTTCCTGAGTATTGTTGAGACTACATAAAGTTTTCATACTTTCATTGCTCAAGAGGCATTTAAAAGTTCTAGTTCTTAGAAATAATCCTCACTCAAAAGTTACAGGAAAGCGAATGTTCTGTGAAGTAACAGATGCTGATAAGGTGTGCTGGCTGTTTCCCACTGTGCTCGTGCCTATCTTGCCACTATCACTATGAGGCAGGTGTGCTTACTTCTCTTCTTGATTAGCCTCTTAGCTTTTACAGTCAAAGACAGAATTCTACCCTCAAACTTAGCCCTACTTCATGTCCATAGCAATCACTTATTTGCTGAATAAACCTTGACTGGGTATGCTATTAATTTACTCTAATACATATGGAACATTTTGTCTTTATGTCGTTGCCAAGAACAGAAGCACTAAGGCTGACACATACAACCTTAAAGTTTCAGGGGGCTGGAGAGATGCTCTTCCAGAGGTTGTAAGTTCAATTCCCAGCAACAACAAGGTGGCTCACAATTATCTATAATGAAATCTGGTGCCCTCTCTTCTGGTGTGTAGGTATACACGCAGGCAGAATATTGTATACATAAATAAATAAATCTTTAAAAATTAAAAAGAAAGAAAACGTTCCAGGCATCACATTAGTCAGCAATGGACAGATGCATGTCTACCACAAGGTCATGGTATCAACCCCTGTGAGTAAGCCACCACTGCCATCACAGAGGACCTTAGCATCACAGAGGACCTTAGGTAATCAATCACCACTTTTGGAAAAAGTTCAAGGGCTGGAAAGATGGTTCAGGGGTTAAGAGCACTGGCTGCTCTTCCAGAGGACCTGAGTTCAG